ACCAAAACCCCCCTGGGGGGGGGGGGCACTATTGCTGTTAGTGTATGTACCAGAATAGAATATGCTTGCATATTACTTTAGGATGTACAATTTAAACCAAAAAGCCAGGCATGGTGGTGTATACCTGGAGTACTCTGGAGGCTGAGGCAGGATTGTGATGGTCTGGGGCAGAGTGGGCTGCATAGTAAGTACCAGGCCAGCCAGAACTGCAGGGAAGATTGTCTCAGAAAATCAAAACAAATGGGGATAAGTTGGATTAGTAGTTTGCTTCTCATGTCAAATAATATCAGAATGTGTATTGCTTTGTAAGTAGAAGCATTTCTAAGTAAGTTGTCAAGGAAGTATTTTTACAGTTCTTTTTTTCTTGAAAGGAGTCCAAAACTACCTACCTGGAAGACCTTCCACCACTACCTGAGTACGAATTGAGCCAGTCCAAGTTAGGAGAGGAAGTGGATGATGTTTATCTCATTCGTGCTCAAGGACTGCCATGGTCATGCACTGTGGAAGATGTGCTTAACTTCTTCTCAGGTATGTCTTATGTGTTTTAAGTAGGCAATTTTGTCTGAAAGGTAGTCCCACAAAGTTCCAGTCGAGCTATGCCAGAGACATCTCTGGTGGTGGGGAGTTGTCTCATTCTGGCTGATTACATATTCATATTGTAGTGCAGATCAGATGTAATTAAGTAATGTTAAAACTGTGGAGTGTGGGATTTATTCAAGTGTGCTCTTTTTTTTTTTTTTTAATAGGATCTTACTGTGTAGCCTTGGCTGGCCTGAAACTCACAGAAATCCACTTGCCTCTAGGCAAGTGTTGAGATTAAAGGCATGTGCCACCACGTTAGGCCCTTCACTGAAGTTTTAATAATGTGCATAACAAAAAGTCAAACCTATTAGTGGGAATTTGGGTGAGGAATAGCTCTTTATGTAATACCTTTCGAAGATCAGTTCTCTTAATATGTTTGGAAGATTTAGTAGTTTGTGATTAGTTTTTAGTTTTGGTGTCTCTGATTTTAAATCGTTCTCTTAGGGAGCTTTAAGAAGATGTTGTCTTAAAACTGAATGTATTTATTAACTTCCTTAAACATGAATGACATTTTGTGAGTCAGACATTTTATGAAGTTATTTGCCACTTATGTCTTTGATTTACATTATAAGAAGTAGGCAGTATAGGATTTACTTTCTATGGAAGGAAAAGTGAGAAACATTAGGCATTGTTATAGCAAAATAATTTCTATAGGAAATACTTTATGGATATGCTTTTATAGAAAGATGCTTAGGGATAAACAAGACTTGCCGTTTTATGGTTAGGAGCTAATGAGCTTCGATGCTTAGGTTTGCTTATCTTTTTTGCTTGGAACATTTTAGACACTGCCATCTTTTTTAGTATTTGGATAGTTGGGAAGTTGCATTCTGGTGACTTGTAAAATTGAGATAACATTTGATTTCTCTTTTGAATTGACTTATCACTTTCAGACTGCAGAATCCGCAATAGTGAGAATGGAGTACACTTCCTCTTAAATAGAGATGGGAAACGAAGGGGTGATGCCTTAATTGAAATGGAGTCAGAGCAGGATGTACAGAAAGCCTTAGAAAAGCACCGGATGTACATGGGTCAGCGATATGTGGAAGGTACGCCAAGTCCTGTTCTGATGCTTTGGGATCTTGCTTTAGATTTTAAACTTTTCTAGGCGGTTTTCCTGTGATCTAGAACACTGAAACACATCCTTAAACATTTTTTCATTAGCTTACAAAGAATTAGGTTTCATTATAGCATTTTTCAATCAAAATGTTTGCATTATTTTATAGCTTGTGAGAATGAAGCATGGGGAGAATCTGTTTCTTTTTAAAACATGTGTATTATTGTGTGTGTGTTTGTGTATGTGAGGGTCCAGGTATGCATGTGCCATGCTGCACTTGTGGAGGTTAAAGGACAACTTTGGGGAGCTGGTTCTCCATATTGTGGTTTTTGGGATCAGACTCAGATTGTCAGGCTTGTGTAACATGCACATTTACCTACCAAGCCATCTTACTGGCATTATTTCATTTTCTTATCTATAAAGTGAAGATACTAGCCAAGTTTATCTTAAAGTTGTGAGAATTAAACGGTTTATGCCTGAAACCTAGTAAGTATTCAACAAATATTACTTGTTATTTTGTTGACAGAAATGGGTAAAAATTGAAACTACTAGTGTTTGAATTCACCTGGTAGTGTATTTGATTTTTTTAAAAGATGGCTTCCTTTTTTATGTAAATTTTATGTGTGTTTTGTGCTTTTTCTTGGTAGTATATGAGATAAACAATGAAGATGTGGATGCCTTAATGAAGAGCCTGCAGGTCAAATCTTCCCCTGTGGTAAATGATGGAGTGGTTCGTTTGCGAGGACTTCCTTACAGTTGCAATGAGAAGGACATTGTTGACTTCTTCGCAGGTGCTTGGCATTTTATCATGTTTGGATTTAACAAAGTTCATTCTCCACTTCCCCCATTATATCTTTCTTTTGCACCTGAGAAGTGTTTTGATCTTTGAGGTAGATCTTTAGGGGGTGTCAAATTTCAGAGTAGTTTCATGAGGTTTGTTTAACTATTGAAGTAAATATTTTCTTAAAATAGTGGACATACTTATCCAAGACAATAATAAGCTTTAAAAACATTGTCTGGGCTGGGTTTATAGCTCAGTTGGTACAGTACTTGCCTATCATTCACAAAGCCCTGAGTTAGATCTCTAGCATAAATTGGGTATGGGGGTGTACGCCTGTAATCCCAGCACTCAGGAGTTGTAGGCACAGAATTAGAGAAGTTCAAGGTCTTCCTCAGCTACATAGCAAATTAGAAAGTCAGCTTGGGATATATAAGACCATGCCTCCAAAAAGAAAAAAAGGCTGGGTAGGGTAGTGCACACCTTTATTCCTAGCACTCTAGAGGCAGAAGCAGGTGGATCTCTGAGTTCCAGGACAGCCAGGCCTACATAGTGAGACCCTGTCTCAAAGCATCATCTGCTAGGCCTGGTGGTGCATGCCTTTAATCCCAGCACTCCGGAGGCAGAGGCAGATGGATCTCTGTGAGTTCAAGGCCATCCTAGTCTACATAGTGGGTTCCAGGACAGCTGGGGTGACAGGGAGACCCTGTCTCAAAAAGACCGAAAAAAAGCATCATCTAACTTTTAGCTGCAAAATGTGACTATTATTTGTTAATCTAACTGTTTCTGAAAATATAACTAGTGGCAAAAAAAATAAAACCAAAGAAAAAGCTTGAGAGTAGTGTGTATGTTTGTGACAGTGTCTTCATCTCAGCCTGGCTTTAAACTCTATGAAGCCAAGGAAGACCTTGGCCTTGTGGTCCTGAATGCTACCCCAAGTGCTGGGATTCTAGGCATGTACCACCACTGGTGTATATGATAGACTATTTGTACCTTTAACATTTTCAAATATGTGTATATAGACATTAACTTTTGACTTTATAGTAATTGTTTCTCTTTGAGCATGTGTACAGCTTTGAGGTTGGCAAAGTTGCTTCTAAATTTTATTAGTGCATGTGTAAATTTGTTAATTATAAGGAGAAAAGCTCCTGCTTGAAGCACTAATTTGTAACAATTTTATTTTTTGTATTTTAGGGCTGAATATAGTAGACATTACTTTTGTAATGGATTATAGAGGCAGAAGAAAAACAGGGGAAGCCTATGTACAATTTGAAGAACCAGAAATGGCCAACCAAGCCCTTTTAAAACACAGAGAAGAAATTGGTAACCGGTGAGTGAGGCAGACATTAGCAGAAGTATCACAGGTCAGGTCAATTTTTTTTAATAAGGAATAAAAATATTTTTTTTTTGATTTTCTGTTGAATTTTTGTGTATTTCATACACAACATCGTAATCATCTTTATACCCCCCTCCCCCATCCACACTCCCCATTGATACCCCCCTTCACACCGGATTTCATGCAGTCATTTATGTTAAGGCCAATTGAGTTAAGTTCCTGTCCCCAGAAGTTCCTCAGCACAGGTTCATCCACTGGGGTCTAGTCAGCCTATTTAGAGTCACTCCTTTAAAGAAGAGCAACTCTCCCTCACCCAGCAGAAATCAGCTGCTAATAGGCTAAGATTGGGGCCTGCTGTCCATTTTCCCCTATGAGTCTTGTGCATGCTGACACTATTGCTGTATGTATGAGCAAAGTCCCAGGAGCCTGTTAAGACTCAGTTCTATATGGTCATGTACCTTCTTCCCTGGCTCTTAGAGTCTCTCTACCCTCTCTTCTACAATGGATCCTGAGCCCTGGGTGGGTGGAGTTAATATAGGAGTCCTGTCCAGAGACCCACACTCTGCAGACTCTTAATTGCTATGCTTTAGCCATTTGTGGCCCTTTGTGTTCATTGTCATTGCCCTCTGTTCCATGAGGGAACTTCATTGATGAGCACTGAGAGATGCATTAGTATTCTTTTTACCCCTTGTTCTACTATGTTCTGTGAGCCTTAGGTTTAGAAGTTCCATTGTAGATGTGTCACTTAGGGTTGGGCATTTCACAGATACTTAAATCTCTGTGTGTGACTAGTTGTGGAACTCTCTAATAGTTTCTATCTGTTGCAAAAGAAGCTTCTTTGATAAGTGGTGAATACAAGGATCCATATTTATCATAGTAAGAAATTACATTTGTCTAGGGATGTGACAGGCTTAGTGTTTTCTCTAGGATCTATGACAGGTCAGGTCATTTTGACAAGTGTTATAAGATGGCTCTCAGATTATTCAAACACAACAGTAAGGAGAATGGTATGACTGATCCACTAAATGCCCATCACTTGGATAATGAATTATTACATTTATTTCATTTTGTTTTTCTAGTATGCATTTAGACATTTTCATAGTCACAGTATTGTCACATCTAATAAATTAGCAGTTTTTGTAAATGTCATAGTAGCCCATAATCATGTTTTCTCATTTATAACATAATTATACATGTGTGTGTGTATATATATATATATATTTTTTTTTTTTTTTTTTTTTTTTGAGATTCCTTGTATCCCCAGTTGTCCTGGAACTCACTATGTATCCTGGAACTCACAAGACCAGGCTGGCCTTGAACTCACAGAGATCCACCTGCCTCTGCCTCCTGAGCGCTGGGATTAAAGGTGTGTGCCATCATGCCTGGCTCATTTATAATGTATTTTTATAGTTGAACCAGTATTGAAGTAGTTCAGATACCACATTTTGATATACCATAAATTCTATTAAATTAGAGCACATCCTCTTAATCCACATATATTTTTTTCAGCCCCCTCCTTTTTATGTGTTTGTGTTTTGTGTGTGTGTGTATGTGTACGTACGTGTGCTTGCCCACCCATATGTGCATTTGGAGGCTAGAAACCAGAAGTTAATGTTGGGTATCTTCCTTGATAACTTTCCACCTAATTTTTTGAGATAGGTCTCACTGAACCCTGGAGCGCAATAATTAACTAGACTGGTGGCCTGGGGTCTGCCCTGGGATTTTCCTGTCTCTGCCTTCCTCCCCTTCATTTTTAGAGTTACAGACATGTCACCACACCCAGCCTTTACATGGATACTAGGGATCTGAACTCAGGTTCTTAGGTTTGTGCAGCAAGTACTTAGCCCATTGAGCCATCTCCCGAGGCTAACCCCTCTCTTTTTTCACATACAATTGGCTTTTGAATAGGTCAGTTGTCTTGCACAGTGTTTCCTGTTCCTATCACATTAGAATGCACATAACTAGGTAGGAGATTGTTTTCACTTAGAATTTTGGAGGTATAGTAAAAATTACTTAGTTTTAAGACATTGCTACTTTTTGTCCTTTTTACTAGGCTCCTTTAAAATGAAAAACAAACAGAACCTTTCCAAAGCCAGTATATTTCAGGATCTTTTTGACAATATTTAAAAAATTTATTTTATGTATGAGTTTTTTACCTGCATGTATGTAAGTGTACTGTGTGTACAATTTCTACAGAGGCACAAAGAAGGTGTGAGATCCCCTGAAACTGGAGTTTCAGATGGTTGTTAGCTACCATGTGGGTGAAGGGAACTGAACCCGAGTTCTTAAAGTATTTAAAATTCTTGTTTTATTGGAGAGGACAGGGTCTTTCTATATAACCTAGGCTGGCCTCACATTTGTCATCCTCTTGCCTTGCCTCCTGAGTCCTGGGATTACAGGTATGTGTCACCACTCCCGTTACTCAAAGAAGTGACGTTCATTTGATTTAAAAAGTTCTTTCTTGAGTTGAGCATGGTAGTGCATGCTTTTAATCCCAGCACTTGGGAGGCATAGGCATAACCCTATGAGATAGAGGCCAGCCTGTTCTACATGGTAGGTTCCAGGCCTGCTGGGGCTACAGGAAGACCCTGTCTTGAAAAGAAAAAAAAAATGTTTTTTGGCATTTTGGGGATGGAGTTCATGCATTACATGCTAGGTGAAATACTTTATCACTGTGCTATATACCCCATTTCCTCACTTAATCTTTGTAGGTTTGTAAGTATATATTCTTTTTTTCAACTCAAAATTTATAAACTAGTTTGGAAAAGCAGTGCTGAGAAAGTGTAGATTTAATGCAAATAGTCCCACTGCCACTAGGTTGGCAAGTTAGAATTAATATTTAATTGTTACTTATTTGAAATAGGGTCTTACTGTGTAGTACAGGCTGACATTGAATTTTCTTTATGTGTTATCTGATTTTTTTATTTAATTAAAATTTTTTTTTTATGTGTATGCGTATATTGCCTGCATGTAGTTAAGTACACCCGTGTTGTGCAGTGCCTGCAGAGGTCAGAAGAGGCTGTCGGATTCCCTGGGACTGGAGTTAAGGACAGTTGTTAGCTGCTATGTGGGTGCTGGGATTCAAACCCGGGTCTTCTGTGTTATTTACTTAAAAGATTTTCATTATATTTATTTATATGTGTGAGTTCACATATGTGCCATAGTGAGTATGTGGAGGTCAGGAAACAGCTTGCAGGAGTTGATTCTGTCTTTCTGTCATGTGAGTAATGGGGATTGAATTTGGGTTGTCAGGCTGGCCTGAAATTCCTTAACAGTACAAAGAAAAAAACAAAAACCTTTGTGTTAGTCTGCTTTTGAGCATGATAAGTATTTGTGGACATGCCCACTTTATAGAGGACTTGGCTTATTTATAAGCTCAAAGTTTTAGATGCTAAGGTCTAGACAGTATGAGTATGTTGTGGCTTTAGAATCCAACCCTTTGCAATCCTCCCCATGAATGGCCAAGAGCACATTGGAATAGGAAGTCAGAAAACTACTCAGAGATACCAGACTTCTGTAACATTCTTTTTTTAGGAGACCTGTATTCCTTTCCTGGGTCAGTGCCCCAGAAGACCAGAGGACTTCCTCTAGGCCCCCATCTCTTAATGGTTCCACAGTATCTCCCAATACCTTTACCAGAGGGACCAATCCCCTCCTTCCCCCTCCCCTTCCTCCTTTTCGTTTCTTGTCTTTTCTTTTTCTTTTCTTTCTCCTCTCCCCTCCCCTGTTCTCTCTCTTTTCTCCCCCTCTCCCCCCTCCCTTCCTCTCCCTCTCTCCCCCCAAGGGATTATCTATGTGAGCCATTAATTTCCCAGATACCTGTGGATACCTATGTTTTATGAGCTATGGAAACATATTTACTTGATTATTAATTTTTATATATGTGTATGTGTCTGGGTATGCACATGTGTGCAGTTGCCCAGAGAGGCCAATAGAGGGCATTGGGTCCCTGGTGCTGGAGCTGCAGATGGTTGTGAGCTGCCTGATGTGGGTTCTGGGAACCAAACCAGGGTCCTCTTGAAGAACAGCAGCAAGTGCTCTCAACCAGTGAGCCATCTCTCCAGCCCTCATACCTGATTATTTTTTTGAAAGTTGTTTTGCACCATTTGTGTCTCTTCATTTTGCTTTGATACAGATACATAGAGATATTTCCAAGCAGAAAGAATGAAGTCCGAACACATGTTGGCATTCATAAGGGAAAAAAAATGATATCTTCTCCTACTGCTAAGTATATAACAGAGCAAGAAGTGGTGTTTGAGGAACAGGAGGTAAATGAGGATAGTCGACCCATGACGGCTTTTGAAAGCGAGAAAGAAATAGGTAAAGTCCTGCCTCTTCTGAAGACTATCTCATATGCTTTGGTTTTTGTTAAACTATTTTTATAACTGGTTTGTATGAAACTGAAATTCAGAACAGGAAATTGAGCTAAAGATTGAATTTTTGTGTGGAATGTATGTTGCATATGCCCAGGAGGGTTTAATTATTTTCTTAAGCTAATTTTTTTTTTTTTTTAATTTATTGAGAGAGAAAGAGAATGAGAATCTCTGTGAGTTTCCGTGTGCGGTAGTGCAGCACGTATGGATGTCTGAAGACAACTTTCTAGGTAAAGTCCTGCCTCTTCTGTAGACGACCAGGCTGGCCTTGAACTCAGAGAGATAGAGATTCATCCGCCTGCCTCTGCCTCCCAAGTGCTGGGATTAAAGGCATGCGCCACCACACACGGACTTAATTAGCTTGTAATGTAATAATTTTGTAGACTATATCAGAAGCTAGGATGATTTTTGAAAATGTAATAAAGTCAGCATACTAAATAAAGAGCAGGAATACTGACTAAGAATTTCTATTTGCCTCTGGATTTAATTTTCTCTTTGATTTCTAACTCCAAAGAAACACTTGGGATCTTTGAATTTGGTAAATACTTTAAAACCAATGCTCTGTGATTATCCTGTCATTGCATTTGATGTTTTTTCACTTTAGTTCTCGGTCATTTAACTTTCACTTTTTGCTCTGTAAAGATAGAGTCTTCATTTTGGAATGGTTTGAAATGCCAGGTGCTTAATGGGTATTTAGGTGATATTTGTTAAGTAGCAGAAATTTCAGGTTGTTTGGCCTTTAAATGCTTTTCTTTCTGGTTCAAGATGGATTGAGGATTTTGACATAAAGGTTATATCTAATTATAATCTGCTAATATCTCTGGAAGCATTTGTGTCCTTGACAGTGTTTTTTGTTCCTCCTCTCAGAATTGCCTAAGGAGACGTCAGAAAAGCTTCCAGAGGCTGTTGATTTTGGAAATACACCTTCAGTGCATTTTGTCCACATGAGAGGATTACCATTCCAAGCCAATGCCCAGGACATTATAAATGTGTGTGGCAGTAAGATTCCTAACCTTGATAGGTTTGAACAAAGATTCAAAATTGAGCTTGAGTTAATTTGGGGAAGTTTGGGAGAAAGGCATTTCTAGAGTGTCTTGATACTCCAGTAGCCTCTCTCTTGTTGCAGAGGCTTGTTTCATTTACTGTAGCTAAAGAGTGTGGTATAGCTAGCAATGGTAGTGGGCACCTTAAGTCCAGATGCAGGGAGACTGAGGCAGCAGAGGAGTGCGTGATCTCAGGAATTCAAGGCTAACCTGAGCAGTAGTAAGCCCTCTCCACTTAGAACAAGTATGCCCCTGTATACTTTAAAGTGAAAAACAGATCAGGATTTTATAGAAGCAAAATAGTGTAGGCCTAGTAATCAGTAAGGAAGTTGGCTTTTACCATAAGCTGGTTCAGCCCATTTGCTTTTAGTTTAGGAACTGAGGCTCAGGCTGTCAGGGCAAAGCAGTTATTGTACATGTTCCTGATGGACAGTGGGGCTACGTTCTGGTAATTTGTGTTGAGTTGGAAGTGCCCTTCATACACCCACCCTACTGAATGTAGCTTAGCAACACAGTAATCTGTAGAGTGATGGTTATGTTCTCAGAGTTGACTGGGAGTTTTGGCTTACTGCCTCTTTCCAGCATCTTTTACATTATTTTTATTTTACTTTTTTTTGGAGGTGGTGGTGGATGTGTACCACTGCACAAATGTGGAGGTCAGAGGACAACTTGCAGGAGTTGTTTCTTTTCCTTTCACCATGTGGCTTCTAGAGGTTGAACTCAGGTCACTGGACTTGGCTGCAAGTGCCTTCACTTGCTAAGCCATCTCACTCACTGGCCAGTTTTTCCAGTATCTCACTCTGTATTACTAACTGGGCTAAAGATCAAAATGCAAATTCAGAATTCAGTTGTTTCTTTTGGTTGCCATTGTTTAGTTCTTTGCTCCACTGAAGCCTGTGAGAATCACCATGGAATACAGTTCCAGTGGGAAGGCCACTGGAGAAGCTGATGTGCATTTTGATACCCATGAGGATGCTGTTGCAGCTATGCTCAAGGACCGGTCCCATGTTCGTAAGTACGACTCATGGCTTTGTTTACAAATGTCTTTCTTTTGGAATTGGCCTAGAATTTGTACTTTGGCAAATTGTGCTCTTTTAGTACTACTAAATTTAATGTCAAGGATTAAAATTTGCTGATTATCCTGCATGTTTCTGTCCTGAGGCAATTTTTCTTATTTACCTGTTTTTAAAATATTTTATTTGTTATTTTTATTTTATTACGTATGAGTGTATTGCTTGCATGTAGGTAAGTACACCAGTGTCATGCAATGCCCATTGAGGTCAGAAGAAGACTTCAGATCACCTGGAACTGGAGTTATGGACGGTTGTTAGCTGCCATGTGGGTGCTGGAAATCAAACCTGGGTCCTCTGCAAGAGCAGCCTGTACTCCTAACCTCTGAGCCATCTCTCCAGCTCCTTGTGTACCTGTTTTTAAACCAGGCTGGCCTCAAACTGGGGGGCTTTCCTTCCTCAGGCTCCTATGTATCAGGATTACAGGGTTGTGCCTGCACACCTAGCTATCATTATTTTGAGGTGGTATCTCACTGTGTTGTCTAGGATGATCTCAGAACTCAAGGGCTTAAGTGATCCTCCACCTCAGCCTCTAAGTAGCTGGGGATATAGCTGTGTGCTATCACACCCAGCCTTGTTTGTATTTTTAGGGAAAGGGCAACAGATAGGAGTTGCCTTTTCATCTTTTCAAAACTAATCTTTTTCTTATTGTTTTCAGAACATAGGTATATTGAACTGTTCCTAAATTCATGTCCTAAAGGAAAATAAGACTTGAACAGACTCCAGATAAAAAGGTATATTGAGATAGAACTGCAAAAATGCTTTTAATAATAATAAACTTGTTAATTGATAATATGGTAGAAATCATTCTCTTTATTTAAATATTCTGTTTAACTTTCTTATATGTATGAGTGTATTGCCTACATGTATGTGAGTGCACCCATGTCGTGCAATGCCCAAGGAATTTAGAGGAGGGCATCAGATTCCCTGGAAATGGAGTTATGGGCGGTGTTAGCTGCTATGTGGGTGCCGGGAAATGAACCCAGGTCCTCTGCAAGAGCAGCCAGTGCTCTTTAACTGCTGAGTCATCTCTCCAGCCCTTATCCTCTTTGTTTACTAAAGATCAAATAATGATAATAGAAGCATCACTATAAGAAAAAAAATACTTTCTGGGAAATAAAATTGTGATTGTCCAATGGCTTTGAGCATCATCTTGTATAGATTTATTTTTTGCATAATTTCTCACATTCATCAGGCTGTATGCCCAAAAATAATTGTATAGCTACTTTTAGTAGCTGTAAATCACGGCACATATAAAATGTGTTTTACATTATTAGCTTTTTTTTCCTCTTTACAATTTAAACACATTTCCTCAGTCTTAAGGTATTTTAACATGTGTAAAAGATGTTATATTTGTCACCATGGTCTGTCATTGATAGAGTTAATTTGTCACTGTTTCCTTTTCTTCAAATGATGTCAGGATTTTTTTTTTATTTTCTTTTTTGTTTTGGCCTTTTGAGAGTTTCTGTTATGCAGCTCACCCTGGCCTTGAATTTATAATCCTCCTGCCTCAGTGTCCTGAGATTAGAGGCTGAGGGTACAGTAACCACTGTATCTGAAATAAGTTTTTTGTCTTTCTTAGTACATGGTTTCATACATAAGTTAACTTACCTATGAAATATTTGCTAAATACATCTTGATTTCTATAAATATGAGTGCTTTTTTTCTTTAACAGTATAGCTCAGTATATTGCATCACAGTCATTTTCTATATGAAGTGATGCATTCCTTTGAGGAGCTTAACTGCCTTTTAGAAACACAGGGAATATATTCCTGTTGTCAGTGACTATTTTTGGACATAAAGTTCATAGTACCACGTTTTTAAACATTTATATTAACTCAGTTCTATGCAAAATATATTGTATGCTCAATTCAAGAAATCTGTCTTTATCAGGCTGTATTCACTAATGCTCATTTTCCTTACCTAAATTCATTGACTTGTAGATAGTTTGCACTAAATTAGGAAAGATGAATTTATAATTTTTAGTGATTTGGGAAAATATGTAAACCTTTTTGAGTAAATGTATAACAGCTTTCTTTTTTCTTTTTTCTTTTTTCTTTTTTTGTTTATTCCAGGATGAAGCCAGAAGCTTTTCATTTGCACATCTTCCTTGGACATGGAATATAAAAATCCAGTTTATTGATAGCAACTGCTGGAGAAAAGATTTCGATGCTATGAATTTTTTAGAAAGAGAAAGATTCAGTTTAGAATTATAAAATAAACCTAAAAATTCAAAATTTGTTTAAATGGTCCAGGATCTGATTAAGAAAATCTGGTCTTTATGTAATTAAGGTTTCTTTTCATAGAGGATATATTACCAATTGTAAAGATGACATATTTTTATTCAGCATTGTGCTTTAAAATCTTATTCCCACTTTTCTTTGCCTATGATTGAGAGCTCTGATGTAAAACTTCTCATGAAATAAAATGATGTATTTTAACCACACACTCACCAAAGCAAGGCAAGGTTTCAGAACTTTAAACCAGTCTGGTTTGGGCAAGTAGTTTTTCATTTTACTGTATTTGATTACTTAGGGCTAGAAATTAAAAAAAAAAAAATCACAGATTAGTAGGTATAAATGATAACTTGGCAGTTTTATGTCTTTAGAAACTTTCTAAGCCTTATGCTAAAGGCATTTAATATTGGTGCCTGTCTATTTAAAGGGGAAGTCTAGTCTCAGAGTTGTCTCAGTCTCCCTTTTCTCCACTTTCTTTTGGTTTTGGGTAAATCTTAAGGATGTTTGTTGGGTTTGAAATTGTTAAGTGATAAAGTGGTATGTCAAAGCAGTCTAGACTGGTAGGACATTAATGGCTTCACTTGAATTTAAACCAGCTCTAGAAAGAAAAAAACAAAACTAAGTCTCCTCATTTGCTTTTTCAGTGGGGTAGCACATCCCATATTTTAGAACATGTAGGGGTGCCTTGCTTAAATAAAAGTAGCATTTAATGTGTAATTGTGTGAAGGGTTTATGGATAAAGCTGTACTAATGTCACATTGTGGCAGCACCTTCTGCTTTAGTATTTAACAGCTTGTTATTTAAATATTGGGCAAAATGGCTGGCTTTAAAAATAGTCATTAATAAACATATGTACACCCATGTAGGAGAATCAAAGTTCTGTATACTTTGTTTGCCTTGTCCCTGTTCTCAGGGTGACAGCTGCTACCAAGATGTAACAATTCTAGTTCTTAAGATTAAAATTGCTGAGATTTCAGTGAGGTAATAATCTGGAAGAGACATGTCTCTCAGTACATAACCATCTCTGATTACCAGCTAAAGTTCAAAGTCATTGTACAGTAGTGAATAAATGAAGGTTTGTTTTATTATTGAAGTGTGAGTCAACTGCATATAATATTTATTGCATCAACTCTTGGTATATTAATATAAGAAGAAATAGTTCTCAGCTGTGTTTTTAAAAAAAACCAACCCATAGGAATGTGACGCTGATGAAGCTCCCTCATGCAACAGAGGGCCAGGAACACAAAAGGCTACAAATAGCCAAAATGCAGAGAATAAGAATCTGCATACAGAGTGTAGGTCCTTGAACAAGACTCCTATATTGAGGTCCACCCACTTAGAGCTCAGGGACCATTGTGGAAGAGGAGGCAGAAAAATTGTAAGAGCCAGGGAAGAGGTGCATGACCATACAGAAATGGTCCTACAGATGTCTGGGACTCTTCTCATACAAACCTACAGCAACGGTTTCAGCATGCACAAGATCCATGCAAACTTATGCAGACAAAAACCCAGCACAGAACTGTGGAAATGAACAGCAAGCCCCAATCTTAGTCAAATTACTGGGTGAGAAAGAATTGATCTTGAAGGGAGAGACTCTAGATAGGCTAACTAGACCCAGTGGATGAACTTTCACTGAGGGACATCTCGGGACACTAACGACATATTAGGCCTATCACAAATGACAGAATATATGAACTCCAGTGAGGGGACTATAGGAGGGTGCCAAGGGGAAAAGGGGGTACAAAAACTTTAGGTATGAAATACACAAAAATTCAATCCCCCCCCCCCAAATGTGACTTTGGGCCAGGTGTGGTAGTGTACAGCTTTGATTCAAACATGGCAGAGGTAGGTGGATCTAGACTGGCCTGGCCTACATAGTGAGTCCCAGGCCAATCAGGGTTAGGTAGTGAGACGTCTCAAGTCCAAGACAAAACAAAGGTAGCTAACTTAACGTTTGTAGTACTTAGATGGCAATGTGTTTTTATAAGTAGTTGGATGTGCCAAGTAATGAGAGCTAGTGTTCAGAGTTACATGGTCCATTAGGGTGTGATCTTTTTTCTCTCTCTCTCACAAGTTACCTAATTTGCTGTTGAAAAGATCTATAGGTGTCTATTGGGATTGGAGTTGGTGAAAATTCATTTACAGTTACTTTTTTTTCAGCTCATGGTTTTCATTTGCACATCTCTTGGACGAGCATGAGCAGCAGCATTAAATGCTGTGCAATGGTTAAGTGTGAAGGGACTTGCCTTACTAGAGGCTGAATTCTCAGTACAAAGCAAGTCTGATATTGGGAGTTATGAACTCACATAGTCTCACTTTAGGATTTGCTCAGAACTTCGGTTCTTGAATTAGTGATTGCTGATAGGGTAGGTAGAGTGAGAATTACACAGCTGCGTAAAAGTAATTATTAAAATCTATCCAGTTAAAAGGCATATTCAACTTCTGTCTCCCAAAATTTGTTAGAGCTATATGGTACATCATGGCTTGCTGTTGAAGGGCATGAATGGTGGATTTCCCTCATCAGCTTGGAATTCTTTGTGTTTTAAAGCTTTCAAAAAGATAGTGGAGCTAGACACGGTGATCACACGTGTAAGCTGAGCACTCAGAAATCTGAGGAAGGAGGATCATAAGTTGGAGGCTAGCCTGAGCCTTATGTAGTTAGATCTTGTATCAAAAAATATATAGAAACAAAAGACACCGAAAACAGTAGGATTGGGGTATCTGGGCCAGGGTCCCTATATTCTACTTTTGCTTAACAAAGGGAGAAAAATTCGTGTGAAAACATGCTGAAAATGGAAGATTATATTGCATTACAGTACACGCACTGATGGAAGAGATGGCCATACAGTGCTTGTCCCTTTACTTGAGAGGCTGAAGCTTCTGTCATGTTGGAAGGGACAGACTGCCATTCTCATGGCATAAGCCACTTTGTGTAGGTGTCAGGGTGTGGTGACTTGCTTATTGGTCAGCATGCCTGTTAGCAACCTCAGTAGTAGGTTTTAATCTGGAGTTGTTTTTTTTTTTTTTTCCTGCTTAGTTATCTCCTATTCGTTTTATAATTTAAGACACAATATCGTGAACATTTCTGAGAATGTAAAAGAATTTACATCCAATCAGTAAGACCAAAGTTGAATGGTAGTGTGAAGTGAGGCAGCTTCAAGTTCTAGAGGTTGACAAATAGTATCTAATGTGGAACTACTACTCCCTGCCCCTGAGTAGCAGACTGGAAAATCACATAACCTCCTGGTAGGGAATAAAGATGTTATAAGCATTTGTGTGCAGAGTTTTGTGTGAACATGTTTTCAGTTCAGAGTGGATGCTGAGAAGTGTGAGAGCTGAGTTAGATGGTAGGAAGCATGCTGAGTTTTGTAAAGTGGCTGCACTGTTGCATTCCCACCAGTGCTGACTGTAGCTCTGTGTCCTCCGTGTTTGCTGGTATTATTTTGGATTTTAGGTGTTTTAGTGGTGCAGTGTTTTAATTCCCAGTTCAGTAATAACATTGCACACACCTTTTCCTTTACTTACTGCCATCTGCATATCATCTTTGTATCTGTCTAGATCTTTTGCCTAATTATTAAATTTAGGTTATTCATAGTGAGTTCTAGGTCAGCTGGGGCTACAAGGAGAACCTGTCTCTATATATACATATATAGTAAAAAAAACATATATATATATATATAAAATCTCCCCCCATGTGGGGCCGGAGAGATGGCTCAGTGGTTAAGAACACTGGATACTCTTGCAGAGGACCCTGGACCCGGGGTTTGATTCCCAGCACTCAACATGGTGGCTAACAATTGTCCTAACTCCACTTCCAGGGGATCTGATGCCCTCTTCCGACCTCTGTGGGCATTGCACGACACGGGTGCACTAAGGTACGTGCAAGTAATACATGTAAAATAAAAAAAAAATTTTAAAACTGATTTTTCATTGGGTGTGGTGGTGCACATCTTTAATCCCAGCACTTGAGAGGCAGAGGCAGGCGAATCTGGGTTCAAGACTAGCCTGGTCTACATAGTGAGTTCCAGGCAGCTAGGGCTATAGGGAGACCATCTCAAAAAGACAAAACTGATTTTCTTCAGGTTGTATAGTGTAACTATGTAATGTAACATGCTTTACTGATGATGATGTTTAAACTGCTTCTAGTGTTATGCTGTTACAATGCTGAAATGAATTACCATGTGTAAACTTGTGTCATTTTGTACATACCTGTTTCTGTGTGACAAGTGGTGAGATAATGTGCACTTGTAATAAGTATCTAAATATAAAATTCAAAGACTGCACTAGAAATGCAAGAGCCCACATCCCCATAGCCTCACCAATAGTGTTTTACATTCTATTCTTTGGGACTCTGTTACAATTAAAAAATGCCCAATTAGGTACTTAGAATTTCTTCATGTTTAAGAACTTTTGGATTTTTTTTTCTGTGAAATTTCTTAATATCACTTCTTTTTTTGTTGTTTTTTAAAATTTTTTTATTGAGCTTTTAAAATTTCATACAGTATTTCCCACTCACATCCAGACCCCCTCCCCCACCTCCGCCCCCCCCAACAGAACCCTATGCACTCTACCATACGTGCTGAGTCCTGTTATCCAGGTGCTTGTACCGAAATGTCCTTATGTGTAAATGTGTCCACTGGAGTCTAGTCAGCCCATCCAGTGGCTGTATGTAAGTCATACTCTCCCTTACCCAGCAGCAACCAATCTCAAATAGTTCTCGATCTAGTGCTGACCGGCCACGTATTTCTCACCTCCCCTTTGGGCCCTTGTTTAATTGAGCTGACATGGGTCCCGTGTTGGACACCAGGCTGCCACAGGCTCACATGAGCAGGTCTCCATTAGCCTGGAAGCCTTCACCTCGTAGGTTCATGAACCATCCCTGGCTCTTACAATCTTTCTGTCTCCTCTTCTGCAATGGTCCCTGAGCCGTGGGTAGGTGAGGTTTCATATAGGAGTCCTATCCTACACTCCACGGTCTCTTCTCCAAAACTTGGCCTTCTGTGTGTAATGCACGCTGATGTATATGGAAACCTCACTGGTGAGAGTTGAGGGGTGTATTAGCCCTCTCTCTACCCCTTATTCCTCTATGTTCCATGAGCATTGGTGATTCAACTGCAGATGTGTCACCTAATACTGAGCATCTCCCAGGTGTCTGTTCTCTGTGTCTGACCTGATGTGCAACTCTGCAGTAGCCTCCATCTTTTGTAAAAAGAAGCTTCTTTGATGAGTGCTGTACAGCATATTTGTCGCTTTAAGGGAGATCTCTTCTATCTGACACTGTGTTCCCTTCCAAGCAGCTCCTAGGTATACATATGTGTTAATGTTCAGACACTCTACGTGCATTTCTCATAGGGTTTCTAGTCATTACTTTTCCCTCTAGTTTCCTAGCCCCTAAGATTCACTCACCTCCACTTTTTTTTTCTCCCATCCAACTTCCCTCCTTCCCTAGTCACAGTGCCCCCATTATCCCCACCCTCCCCCCAATCCCTCCCAACTCCCGCCATCTTTCCTTTCCTGACTTCCCTCCTGTTGGGGAACCCTGCTGCTAGGGTTGTAGTCCTCCATGTCCAGATAGCTCTAAGGGGCTCGGCGCCATATGGAAGGACTCCCCTTCTCAGCAGGGGGCCTCCTGCTCTCTTCCTGACTTACCTGGAACGTGCCACCAAGCACAGATGCCTGACCTTATTTGGAACATGACTTTGGCATAGTTACCTGGAGTAAAAATTACCCCCAGATTTTTTCTATATGATGATTAGGCATTGCCTGGTAGTCTGATGATAGGAGCCTACTGCCTTATGTAAATAAAGCATACTATGAGCACCTATCAGCTGAAACACTGGCTACTGCCTCCACACTATATTTTTCCCTAACATCCCACTAAATAAACGGAGCTGTTTCACTGAGTCTGGAGCTGTTTGCATCACTGAACCTGCCTCCCCGGAAGGGCTTTCTTCCGTCAGTGCTCACTGGCCGTCCTGACCCCGTTCCTCGCTTCTGCTCCCTTTGTCCTCATGGAGCGGTGGTCAACGACCCACGAGGAGAGGGAGCGACCCCACACCCTCCCGCCCCAACACTCAGGTCCTTTGCATGTCT